AGCTCTAGTTTGTTCTATGGGCATGCGAATGGGAGGTACTGGAGTGTAACGTGGATCCTCGTCCGAACGCAAGCACTTTAGAACGGAATCGTCCCAGTGAATTTCTATCGGGCAAGTGATAACGTTAATGGGCCTGACAATGTGTTATGCAATTTACATCGCACGGCAAATAGCAATGCTATAGAAGCTTCGGCCTCATATCGTTCTATCTACGTTAAGTTGCGACATATTGACACGCGCTGATTATACGCTAAAATAATAAACACCATCAGTCATCAGCAGAACTAATTGCTTCGGGAGCTTGATGCAGTGAGTCGGTCTCTTTATACACTGCATTACTACCGAACGTTAGTACATAAACAAGATCATTGTTGGGCGTGCAACCTCGTCGCACTACAAAGATACCATATACATTCACCCCAAAGCTCTGATAAAAGAATGATCCGATCGATATTTTTCCGCATAGCACAGAGAGAGAGAGAGAGAGAGAGGGGGAGGGAGAGTCTTTGTGACAAAGGCTGCGCAAGTATCCTCGAGTAATATTCGGAAGTGTTCACAGGGCCAGCACGAGACCCGCTAGATAACCTAACCTAACCTAGGCTGACATAACCTAAATGCTCTACTGGCCTTTGAGAGCAGTTACTATGCATCATAGGCCATAGCGTCACAATGCACTTAGCCCGCGTGGCTGCAGCAGCCCTCTTTGCCCAAGTGAACGTGTGCGGAATCCTTTCGGCTACCAGGTCCTGCCCACAAAAGGATTCTACGCTAGATTTGGGGTATCATATGCGCCTGCCAACTTGTGATAGCTGCTTTAGCGATATGACGCAATGGACAGCAGTGTCACGCTCTCAGCCTAAACCTCTTGCATAAGCTGTATTCACGTACCGTCGGGCTCAGCTGTCAGGTCAATAAGGCCTACAGCTTGCATAAACGCTGAAGCTACTATGGAGACGTTAACAAAGTTCGTGTTAGTCGTTATCCTTGATGTTGTAATAAGGATATCCTGGCATTGAAGAGGACCGATGATATCTCGAGTATCTCGCGTTTACGTTGGCCTATTTCGTTTTATGCCATCATATCGTAAGTCTATAAGAATTATGATGTAGTTTACAGTAAATTTGATGAGTGCCGTAGCGTAGTGAAATCGTGTTATCAGAATGGAATAAATATGAATTATATGACTCGAATACCGCTAATGTGTATTGCTAACAAAAGTCGCATCCAATCATCTTGCATGATCGGGTTCCCGTTGTACAAATGAAATTGGTAATCGTAAATAGAATTATTGTTTCGGCTATGTTCAATTGAATCAGATTATGCTGAGTAACTGTAATCCAGTTCGTTCCTCGTTCAACCTGTACAGCAACAATAATTCCCACGTACACTGCATGTTGATTTTTGGGATAACTTCGTGCGTCTGATTCTCTGGTCACGAAAAAATTCATCATACCTCATGAAATTAAAATTCGATTGGATAACACGTTCGTCATCCAATTTTCCATGCGGGTTAACGAGAACGTAGACTCTCTTTTTTTTTTGTTCCTTGGACTTGCCACGCGTGCGATCTGTCTATATGCGTGAATAGTGTTGACGGTGCTTCAGCACCAATGCCCTGTATCTGGTTCGTTAACTCTGTATACAGTCAAGTATGCTGAATACAAATCGAAAAATAGTATCTTCTAATTGTAGGATTCTAAACTTTAGGTGCCTCGCCATATCAGTGTGGTAGATGAAAAAAACAATAATGGACAAGCCTAGACTGCTCATCCTAGGCTTATAGAATCGACTGTCTCGGTGTATATGCGTGTGGATGGATGAACATGAGAGAGATGTACGAGCCAGTAATGGACACGATGCTGTAAAGATCGGACGAATAAAAACGGAAACCTCAAAGATACGAGAACAGTGATTTCGCGCCTTACCTATATATACCCATGTAAAAATCCTACATAATTATATCGAAAATCAGATTAATTCTATCTGCCAAAAGTACAAACTGCCTTACGTATAATTCACAAGATCAGAAAGTAAGGCGACAGGTACAAAATCCATTGAATGTGCGCAGCTTAATAGAAGCTGGCATAAATATCAGACTCTAATACGCCAGCAGCAAGCAGCTGGCGGCTGATAATAAGGTCGTTATGTCGTTAGTATACGTAGGTAGGTAGATATATCGCGATGTTCCAGCATGTTGCTCTCGCATCCCAATGCTTAAGCATAATAATTCGTAGGAGCAATGGAGCCCAACAATTGTTTCATTTTATATAAAATTTCTACAGGTCGCGTTGTAATTAAGATTTTGCGACAATTTTATTTTTTCCAACGATTCGTTTCGTTCCTGAAATTTTTATCCTTATAAATGCCTAGACGCGCCCTATACAGGGTAGATTAGTACGTTAAGGTAAGACCAAGACTCGAATTGATTTCAACCCCCTTTAGCTTCTAACTCGGAGGAAGTTTTATACGCATACTTTTCTCCTCCAATGGAACCACGTAGAGGAAATCCGTGTACCCCTCTTTCATTCTTCATCTCTTCTTTTTACTTCTCTCCTTATATATTTTCGTTACAGCCGATCCCATCCTTCTACCCTCATCGTCTCACCCGGTACTGTTTTCCCTGGCTAACCCTCAATAACAGCTACGATCATTCTTCACTCTCCGTCATTTCTTTTGGTCTCATCCTGTGGGCATACCGGCTGAACGACTCGAGAGATAGGAAAGGTTACTTAGCCGGATTTTAAATCACGTGGCGACCCCGTTTCCAGAAATCCACGCAATCCGCATTGACATGAATTTGAAAGCAAAGTTAATGTCCTTAGGGTGTATACGTTCTCCATTGAGAATGACGGCAGCTCACTCGAAAGTTCACCGAGAGATTCGTCTCGAGATCGCGTGTCACCTGACTCTTTCAACGGGAGTCACGTTCACGAAATCAGAACCTTGCTCACCGGCGATGCACGTTCTTTCCGGTTGAACTCAAATCCTCGTATAGACAGAACGAACTAGTGTGCTCCTCTCAATCTTGGACGAGATCTCACAGCATCCCTAGGCACGTGCAGTACCTACCTACACCCCTTAGATTCTAGAATAACAGTTACACAAGGCTCAAGGTATCGGACTCCTTTTCAATTCCCTTTGTCTTTTCTCCGTTCCGTGTGGAAGAGAGTTATTTTCTGGCACGTGAAACCTGTACTGATCTATAATAAATACGTAGCTCAATGTATACTTGTTCTCTCGGATAGTTCGAACAATTTCAGTTCGACCGAACACTCGAGCGTATAGGCACTCGAAAACTTTTCTGACCTATCTTACCTAATAACCTTTGATACAGATTGGACGTGGTTTCACCCTACGTCACTCTCTCTTGGAATCTCACTCATTCTCATCCATTCTCTCTTCGTGTCTCTGTCCTGCTCTCTCTCTTGGTATCAAGCTCTTCCACAGTGGTAGAGTCTGAAGTGTGGAGCAGCGGGGAACACCGCCACTCAGTTTTCAAGTTATCGATCTGGATATACGCTCATTGCTCCAGGGAATGGGGTACGTGCTCTGGCGTCGCAATGCTGCCAACCGCAAGGAAGTGTCTGTATCCGAAGCCACAGTCATTCCCGAGACACGATCGTCGATACGACGCGCACTTTGCACACCTGCCACGGCCAGCACTGGCTAAAAACAAAATTGAGTTTCACAGACTCTTGAAACCTCATTCTTGAGACTGGGTTTGCATTCGATCGTGCGATCTCTGAAAACAGTCTCTCTGACTTTATTGTGCGTATAGGCATATATAGATGGGATTTACGTATACAGATATATACTCATCCAACAGCAGAATATACCCTCGACGATAATAATCTACTTTCGCCTGCTTGTTATACTCTGAACGAATTTATCCATTCCTTACCACTCGCCCCTTTGGTTTGTACGTTCATGGCTGATCTACCCTCCTGTAACATTCTAACGTGCTGAAGGGTGAATCGGTTGAGAATTTAAGATATTTGCTATAGGGGAGCGTTTGCGTATTACGGCGAATGCGGCACTGGCGATCGAGTGGAATATAGTATAAGGTGACGATAAAAGAAGCTGAGTCCGAAAGTACCGTGTTTATGTTGGGGATGATAAAAGAGAGCATGGATGGTGCGTCTTGTATCGTATGGTCGTAAAGTTGAATAATTCGGGAAGTTTTCGTTACACCGTTTTATATCGTCGTTTTCTTTGGTCTTATCTTGTGAAATTTGCTACACGCGTGTATAACGTTATTCAATGGGGAATTCACCGTAATAAATATACTTCGCAGTCTTTTATTGAGTTTATTTAGGAGTGTTGCATCACCTGAAGATTGCTTCAATAGTGACATTAAACGAACTGGCTAACTTCACTTTGGTACAATACTCTTGAAGGATATTGCATAGGTATATGTCCAACTATTTTATTCCATTGAATTTTTACAGATTTAGCCAATAACTGCTAACTGATTTTTTAAATATTTTTTTTCCACAGGATTTATACGTCTATTATATGGACTGTAAAATTATTTACTTCTGGTCTGATAGGTCCTTACGGAAGAATAGTCAATCACGGATGGTTACAGATTTAAAAAATATATATATTTGTTATTTTAGGTTTATTCGAAATTAGTGATTAATTTAATTGCACGATAGCTGTCCAAACTGTATAATGTATTTTGTCTAAAAGATATAGAAAAAATTGATGCTCAAAATTATTACGTTAATCTAGAAAATATTTTCATATTCCTTCTCTCGGACTATATTACGGGTTTACATAAAAGTGGAGGCTGCATTTATAAATGTGTTATCCCTGGAAATATCCGACGTTGCGTTCTGGAATGTGGATTAAGGATATTTTTCTCTGGAACTGGTGGTCCAGAGGGTAACTGACATCAGAGTAGAAATGAAATGAATGGCTTATGAGCTGACAGGAGCACACTGCTACGTTCTTTCAAGCGGTCGTCGAGCTGCTTTCTGATGATGTGATCATTTCAGGGTGGTCCAGCTTCCGTCTTCCCGTTGACCCAGACACTGTTGAACCTTTACGACCGCAGGTCGGCCAGCCCTGACGTTCCTGGCCGTCTAGATCTCACTCAGGTTCGTAATCGAAAACTAAATCGTGTGCTAAATTTTTACAGTTTCCCATTCACATTGATTTTCTATTAAATGCAGGTTCCTGTCGCTCCTCAATAATCGTACTTCTATTAATGAGATCATCGTTCATAGAATTATTTGGTCCACTTTGAGTTTTATGGTTATACCTGCCACTTCTATGGGGCTTTATCTTAATACGTGTTTATGATAAACTCGCACGATATTCATACGTGGTATGCTAGTTTGTTATTTATTTTCTTTCTTCTATTTTTATCCATATTATTATTTACGAATGATGGGAATCTGCGTTTATAAATTGTTTGGAACATCAATTGGCATGCGCGTTGATTTGAATTATGCATCAGTAAAAAAAAAGTTTTTTTTTTAATGAGAATTTTACTGGACAGGAATGAAGGTAGTTGCAGAATTATGAGCTCATTAAATAATATCAATCAGTTCGCGAAAAGTCAATCGAGTTGCAGAGTTCTTCTTAAATTCCTTACTTACCGACTCCGAGCAGAAGGTTTTCGGAGTCTCGACATTTTAGCAAGAGGGTTCGTCATATGCTGCGAAACTTTACCTACCTCCTCACTGTACTTGTGCGCATCACTTTGTCGGTAACTTATCCTACGTCGAATACTTGCCGCTTAATTCCAATAGTGCAAAGGGTTTACCCAGTATACAAAAAAGTTATTCATATACGAACGTCTGTTATCCAACGATATAGGTACATACTGTATACGTGACAATAATTACAAAATTCGGCTTTTATTGCTTGTGCACATTTGCAGCCTATCGGCAGACATGCCTCATATTTATTTGAACTTCAAAGAGTGGGTAAAAAAATTCTGAAAAATTGCAATTGGAAGCTATTGCAAAAATAGGCCATGTTAATATCGCTCTTCAGTCAAATAAAACATTCATAAAAAATTTCATGAGAAGCATTCGAATATAAATTCCTCTCTGTTCTTGTGGAATTCGTTTATAGTTGTAAATTGACGTTATCGACGAAAAATATAATATTATTTTATCAGGCTATAGAATAGGAATTAACCATGGGCGTTTGGGCTCTTCGTACTAATATTGCGTTAACGTGCTCATTGGTTCGTTCAATCAACGCTGCATTCATCGTTCCATGTTAAATGCAGAGAATGATTTAGGGATGCGATGCATCGCACGTGGTGCACCCAGCGAGGGTTAAAGATCTAACTAGATTGGTACTGGAAACAGGGGTGGAAAAGCGGTTGCCATGGTTACCCAGCGGCTACGCAGTATGCTGTATCTTTTGACGAAGGACATCGCCAGTATTCGCGGTTCGGTTGCGACGGCAAAAAATACCTTCCTCTTAAGAATCCACATCGACGAAAACATTTCTTCGATACCAGTGTAAAATCACGTTTCAATCTATCGTGCGTTATACGAATTACAGTTTTCTTCTTGCACTATTATACGTCCTTGACGCGAGTGTGTACTCTGAATGCAAACGACTGTCAAGTAAAAGTATACAAGGTGTTGCGGCGAATATTCGAAGCCCAGTGTAAAAATGTCTAATTAAAAATTTCTCTTAAAAAAATGTTCGGTTTTAAAGTGTCATTCTTAACTGTTGCATTGAATTCTTTTAAATGCTGTCATTAAATTAATTCATAAATATTCAAATTACATGCTATCACACAAATGATTGTTCAAAGTAGGTCACGGTGTCAGTATCCTTTACTGACGTTACAAATCAAATGATGATATACAGTAACGTTCAATTGAAGTGCAACACTTGAATTTTTTTACATTTCTGTGAAAGTATTACAGATTTCGAAAAACCAAAGACATATTTTTTAGGAAATTTTCTTGCCGTTCGAGTGGTAAAGGTTTTATCCCGATCGGATGCAAAATGGCCGAATGGCAGGGATTGGAGTGAAAAAGTGCATTTTGGAACTTTTTGAAAAATTCGAGATCTAGTAGTTCCGGAAGGAAATTTATATTTCTAATTAGGTCACGAGAGAGAGCATCCTTCGGCATTAAAAAAACATCCCCATTGAACCCCTGTAGGATCACTCTAGGGGGAGTTACACCCCCTTGAAATGAAAACACTTAAATGGCCATAACTTTCGAACGCGCCGGCCAATCTGGTCCAGTTTCTGCATGATATCATCTTTAATGATACTGCAGATTCTCACAAAATTATTGTTCTCGGAGATGATCCCGTGACGGAGATCTCGAGATTTCGCAAGCGCGCCCGAAGCTTCCCCGCCATTTTTAATTAGGAAAGCAATGAAATAGAAGTTTCATTTTTATCCACGTTGTAGCTGAGACTTCAACGATTAAAACGCGCTTTTAAACATCCAAATACGAGTACGCTAAGGGGTGTAATTATCCGTTTGAAAAAACGCCTAAATTTTGCGAGTTTCGCTCAACGTGGATAAAAATGAAACTTCTATTTCATCGCTTTCCTAATGAAAAATAGCGGGGAAGCTTCGGGTGCGCTTGCGAAATCTCGAGATCTCCGTCACGGGATCATCTCCGAGAACAATAATTTTGTGAGAATCTGCAGTATCATTAAAGATGATATCATGCAGAAACTGGACCAGATTGGCCGGCGCGTTCGGAAGTTATGGCCATTTAAGTGTTTTCACTTCAAGGGGGTGTAACTCCCCCTAGAGTGATCCTACAGGGATTCAATGGGGATGTTTTTTTAATGCCGAAGGATGCTCTCTCTCTCGTGCCCTAATTAGAAATATAAATTTCCGTCCGGAACTACTAGATCTCGAATTTTTCAAAAAGTTCCAAAATGCACTTTTTCACTCCAACCCCTGCCATTCGGCCATTTTGCATCCGATCGGGATAAAACCTTTACCACTCGAACGGGAAGGAAATTTCTTAAAAAGTATGTCTTTGGTTTTTCTGTCATACTTTGTCTGTCATACTTTCACAGAAATGTAAAAAAATTCAAGTGTTGCACTTCAATTGGACATTACTGTATTTATCACCCTCTATAAATTCTTGGTACATTGAACGAAAAGTGTTGCTTTGTTAACTATAAAAAAAGGTGTCAGGATTCTGAGATTTAGACATTATTTGCGGTATATATATTGCATTACGTATACATTGGATTCATCGGAAAATGATAAGGTTAACGCAAAGACGACTAATGCCGAGTCCAGAAGAGCTGAATCAACATTCGTCCGGGTTAAGTCGGGGTCCACTGAGTTCGTGTTAGCGTCAACTATAAGCTCGTTAAGAGAGAGGGTTGAAATCGATCGGTCCCTCGGCAAACTACATAATTGCACTCTCAGCTGAGTCTGACACCGACATCCCCTTTCGTGCTCTCATCATAGGCAACCTTTAAGTAAAGCAAAAAGCTTAGCTGCTGCCTCGTCACGTAAATCTGAGAGAAGTGGATATACACGTGGTACCATCGATGCCAAAATGTTTCGCCTTGACAGCAGAATACCAGATGAAAGATAACTCGTGTCTAGGAAGCAGAAGTTGAATAAATCCTTGTTAGCTATTCGCTGAGTTGTCCATAGAAAATTCTCGTGCGCGTTAGCAGCTTTGAAATAAGGTCATTGTTGGTTTTTGAAAAAGATAACGGAGATAAGCTATTAGGTGATACACAATATTATAATATTATTTAAAAATTTATCAACTTCGAGATATAGTCGCCGCATTTTATTCTGAGAATAATTTCAAAATTCTCCCTCGCTTTTGTCCGTGGGAAATTAGAAGTCAGTGCTCTCTCAAACGAAACAGTAATCAGCCAGGGTGGCATGTGGGCACATATATGTGTGTAAATGACGCGTATGGTATATGTACGAAGAAAAATTTAGAGGCAACGAAATGTCTACTGTAGTATCACCCTTGATGCAGCTTCGCCATCCCATCCACCTTTTCCCTCTTTCATTTTCCTTTCCCTTTTTTTTTTCCTTTCTCACATCCTTCCTGTGGTCTCCAGCGAGGCAGAGTCAGACAAGAGCACAATGCTTTGATATGTTCCCCACACACGTTCTGACCTTTTTTCGACTTCTTTATATTTTGCAAAAAAAAAGGATCTCTGTGCGCCTTACTATTCCCCTTGCGGAAGATGATGATTCGTTTCGACACAAATTCAACTTCATTCAACTGATAAGCTCATTAAATAATGTAACTTAAAAGGGTTGTGACAACGTAGATATCTCATCTTTTGTACGGTGGCTGCGTGTATTCATGGTGCCGTGAATAACGCGAGAACATTTATTTTCATTGTTGAGTTGAAAAACGGTTATCGCGAAGCTCGTACGAGTATTAGAATCTCTAGAGAAGCTGGGAGCAGGTCAAAAGGATCCCAAGACCAACGAGCCGTGTCGTGGGTCAAATTTTCATGATGAAAGCCTTTCGGAACTAAATTCCTTGGGCAGGGTGTGGATCTTCAAAGTTCCTGGTTTCTATAGAGGGACACCCGTCGATATGCTTTGACGTTGCGTGACGCATTCTTAAAGTTCTGAGAGAAGCCAGATATTTTCACATTAGCGGATCCATCGAGGAAATTGAAATGCCAATGGCAGTGTACACTGCGTAGTGTACAAATCGGTAAACTCAAATATGTGCAGACAATTGGGGCTTATCATTGAAAATGCGGTTTAGGATACGCTCTGGCTATTACGAATGAATGCGCAAACAAATGGTAATGCATTCCATTTGATTTCGTCGAGCAAATTGCTACCACTTTCAGGAAGAAAGCTGTTACGGGGATACTTTGTTTGGTTAATCGGCAAGTTACGGGGCGAGGGACTTCTGTCTAAACAAATAGGACGAGACATTGTCTCTCGCTTGGAAATTATGACAATTGTACGAGTACTTGAGAAAATATTTTGAAAAGTAATTATCTTCTTTTTGAAATGTGAGATAATGCCATCTTGCTATTTGAATATTAGGTTCATAAATAAATAATTTAACATAGTCCCATTTATATTCCGTCGGTCCAGTTTTATTTCATTTACTATTGGATTATTGTATCACGTTACTTTTATTTACGGACAGTCGAATAGTTATTTCCCTATTTTCTCAGTCACACCCTTTAGAAAATTCTCACTGCGCAGATGCTGTACATACACAGGAGATTTTACCACACGAGTCGTGAAAAAGAGGGTGCTATTATGGGGAAAAAAAAGAGTAGTGAATGCCCGGCATGAAAGCTCTGGAACGTTTATCGAAAATCGTCGCTCCGAAAAAACTCGCTGCTATCAGGCACATGAAATGGGATAACTGATGACCGCGGACCCACCCAATGACGTATTTTGACATGACTCGACAAGGACTGCGAAAAAAGTGACGCAGGGCGACGCAGTAAAGAACAAGCTAATGTAGCTAATGAAAAACAACGGTGATATTTTTTTCTACTGTCCATATGTAGTTTCGTTATCGAATAATATTTTTTTTTTTTTTTAATAACTTCGGATAATTGCTGAAACAAGGATGAAATTATCAATGGATGATTATGCAGAAAAATCACAAGCATCGTTTACAAAAAAAAAAAAAAAAAATCATGATAAATTTGTACTCGACAGAAAATCCTTACCCTTCGAGCCCAATATATTTAACAGTTACAAAAACTTATCGATCCAGCATATATATAATATATATTATATACACATCAACGTTAGTCGCTGAGTATCAGTTCGCTTGGATTAAGCTCATCCTTCACGAATTTCATCAAAGCCCAGTTAAGCCCACCCTTGTGTCACGCAAGTACGAAGACAATTTTATTACCAATCCTCAGTCTTTTTTTTCTCTCATCGTGCAACAACTAGATAGGTACCTGCATATACCTTCTCGCAGGCGTAGAGAATCTCAGGCTGTAGACAATGCGGAAGAAAAAATTCAATTCGACCAGCCTACCAAAGAGGGACTTCCCCATGTAAAGAACATAAGCCGTCCCGAAATAAAATACGGAATACAAAGTGTCTTTCTTAAATTAAAATAATCGGCCAAAGAGAAAATTAATTATTCTGCAGAATGACTTTAACCAAGGTACAGAATGGCGATTCCGGTAGTCCGTTAACGTGAGATTTAGTAAGGCGAGCTTAATCAAAGCGGGGGCGTTGGGCGTCGGAATTAGACGACGGCTCAGTGGAAGCGCCGCGACGTTGATACTGACACAACTCCGGCAGTCTCTAGGACGCCGGCCGTCTCCTCGTTCTCTCGGCAAGACGACGCTCCCGTGATTTCTAAGCTCTTGTGCTTGCGACACATCAACACGTGCGCAGCTTCGCCCCGTTCCTCGTTTCCTGGTTCTGGTCAAGGTGTATTTCTATTTTGTGAATGAGTCGCGTCCGAGAGCTTTAGTCAAACCCGAACTACTAGCTTCGGCGAAATAGTTGTAATTCCAAGGTCTCTCGTAGTGTAACTGCGTGGAGGAGACGTCACTAATTTTATATTTACGATACAACGTTGAAACTTAGTGTCAATGTGAAAACTTGTGTAGAATCATGGTACAGAAATGTTTAGTACAGTGCGGCAAGTAACTTAAAATCTTACCAATCGAGTGTATCCGTATCCCAGTATAAAGATCAGAAACTAATATTATGATTAGGGATCGTGTAATTAAGCTAGTAATTATATCTTTCATTAATTTTATATTAGATCTTCTACGTGGAATTTTATAAAAATTCTACGAGACTACAGGATATAATTTCTTTCAGTGCTCAGAAACGTATTTACGTACAGTATATTTGCAATGTTGGAATTTTTTAAACTAATGGTTTTAATCTTTTTTTTTTAAGGTCATATTATATTTGAACCTGGTATAAAATTATGTTTCTGGGCAAAACGCGTATGGTCCGTTTCCTTTATTTATGAGCGGTTTCTTGAAAACACTTCACTCCCAGTATTTGGTATTCTTAGCGCACGAGATGTAAACTGTAAGTAACTAAGACTCGTTCGCGCAACAAATGCTGTAAAGTTATATGAGAAAACCAGTTTACACGTCCCTTTTTCTTAACGATGACTTACCCCGTGGAGTCAGTCTCGCGAACGAAATTTGACGTCACGTTAACGTCAATCGACGTTAACAGTAACGTACGAAAGTATATGTCTAACGTTTTCTATAACACGTTGTAGGTGAAATGAGCAAAGTTACACGAGAGCAGCTATCGGTCTACCAATTAAAATTTTAAAAAATTGTTAATTACCAATAGAACATTTTTCTTGAAATTTTCGAAATTTAATGCGTGTTAGAAAGTTTTGTATATAAATTTCGATCCAGAATCATAACACGTACATATACTATTTCCATCATACGTAGGTTGGCGGAGTTATAGGATTCATAACAATGCAATATTTTATAAAGCTGACGAAATACTGCGCAGTCTGCAGTGCCATTCGCGATTCAATTAAATCACTGAAACGAAACGAACTGTAATGAATAGTTCGGTGTTCTGTGGTTAGTTTGTTGGTGTAATGTAGTTTAGTAGTGAATGTACCTCGGTTTTCAGATATCGAAATTATTACGTCGTAGCCCCTTGTCACCCATTAGAACAATTGAAAGAGGAAATTTTCATAAGCACAAAAATAATCAGTTAAGCAATAATCAAAAGCAGTGATCGGTGAATAAAAATCTTCGTTCTCAATCGTAATCACAATGATCGATTGGGTATCGATAGTGCGTCACTCGCGTCGAAGATTCAGTAATTACATGTATGCTGTACCAAGCAAAGTGCGAAAGCGTAGAAGAAGAAAACGTTATGGACACTCACCAGCACCTTTTACCGGACAGAGTAGTAATATCGGTACGCACCGTCACGTGACATCCGGGGATCCACAATTATGTGGTTGTTGTTGGAACAACGTAAGTTTGGAAATAAATTTATTTAATTAAAATTAATTAAAATATCGTTCATTCTACTATGATTATACGGATGGCTTCGTCTGATGATGTATTTTAAGTTTAAAAAAAATTAAAGGTGACTAATCAAAATCGAAGCTTTCCTGTGATTATTTGCACAGAGCATTAGATTATTGCGCGGGTTAGAAAGTTCTGGAAATGACGTTAAGGGTTGATAGTTGGAAACTCTATCGCATTAATCGACCTAAGGGACGCTGCCTGCAATGGACACGTATCCAGTTGTAATTAGCTAGAATCCTAATTAATTTACCTGAAGCACTAATCAATAACATTATTCTCCATGTCAGTATTCATATTGTTAGATTGTCAGATTTCATTATTGTTACGTCATTACGCGTGAAATATGAATTTCAACCATAAGTTAACACTAAATCTACCAACACTTCTCGTATACCTGTTCCTCGCTCTTCGAAAACGGTCAATTTCACCGGTTTGGTGTTAAACTATAATCATAAGATTTTTTAAACTGGTCTAAAGTTATCGCGAATATAGTTATACCTGTTCGTTGATAGAAATTTGATTAATTGCCCGACCTTTACTTAGAAATTGATCTTTAAGAAGAGGAAGTTGTTTGTTTATTTATACCGTGCAATTTATAGGTGACCAATAGGGTTTTCTTCTCTTGGCTCAGCATACAAGATTTATACTTCTTTATTCACAACGTAATTTCTTTTTCGATTCTTCTCTTCACTTCGTTACTGTAGTATGTATAATTTTATTGTACAGAGACATTACTTTTTATAGAATCGTAAAAAAAAAAAACACTTTTACCGGTATGAAAGCTGTGACAGATGCAATAGTAACTGGGCTTGAAATCCAAACTGAATTCAATCGCTGCTACATCAATGGATGTTTGGGTATTATTGGGATAGCGCAATTCACACGTCAATATATTCTCACAATTGGAAGCCCTGCGTGAAGACGATAAATCCAGGGTTTTATGCGATTAACCTCGTGACTCTGCTTGGGCTATATGTACATATATAGGTAGACAGGAGACAGAAACCTACCGCGTGTTAGTTGTGCGTCAACACTCAGCCATGTTTTCCGCTGGTTTTAGGTTGTGATAGAAAATACGTACAAAGCCTTGAATTCTTTTCTGACATGATATTCCTCAACTTACCTACTTGTGATATGCTACACGCGATTAATTTTTCCAAAGATCCGTCGCCTATAATTAATTCAACGTCTAATTCCAATGAAATTTAGTGAAGATTGCACGAAGAAGATGGTTTGATTCAATTTTTCCACGGGACTGACTATTAGATTTGGTATAATAATTTTTCAATCTTTTTACTCATTTATCTTTACAGAAGACGAGGTATGGTGGCGGAGGTGTTGAAGAACAATTACCACCACCACCATCGCCACCCCAATTAAAAGAAGCTAGCCAGCTGGATGGTGTTCCAAGACCAAATTCCGTTGATCGAATTCTTCATCCCGACGGTACACAGCACATTTTAGCAAGTCACGAATCACTCAAGAAGGTAAATTATTAATTTGATTATGTTCACATCCAAGCTTTTCATTATTTTCACTATTTGTCATAGGCATTTAACCCCGTGGTTACTCAAGTATAAAATCTAAATCATTGATAAATACATAATCGACATAATTAAATTATTAATCATATTCAAATGAGCGTATTTATAGTACGGTACACGTACTATAACTATGCTGTGGATTCCGTGCGCATGCTCCGTTCATCTGTGCTCATCGCCATCTAGAAGTTCTAGTTGGGAGTAGTGCGAGCTTCGAAGGTCGATAAAGCTCACGGGCTATCGTAAGGATACCGACGCGATGCTCACTGGGTCGGTACTTCGACAGCTTGCAAGCTCACCGAGAATCCATCGACTCTCTGGAGCTCGTTTACTTATCCACTGATATGGGAAAACTCTATTGATACGATTGCCAACAGTGAAATATCAATATTACGTCTTATTGTAGTATCGTACTCTGGATAACCAGTAGTACTCTATATACCAATGGTACAATAATGTTTCTATTTCTGACGTCATACTGCAACCCTCCGCCAGCGGGTAGCTTCTCGTTTTCAAAATTGCCCGCATGGTGGCAATACCTGAGCATAACGGTAAGTTCGCTCGCCTCGTTATCGAGCTGCCATTTGTAACACGTGTACAAACAGTTCGCCCGCGACTTTGCGACTTGTCGCCAACCGAACGCGACACCCGCGCAAATATCGTATAAAAAACAAAATAGAGGTACCTGAGTGATCGTGCAGTGTGCAGTAAGTGTCTTAGGGATGGTCATCGCTTTTCGTGAAGAGTGAGCTGCTGCAAAACATGTGTTTAAATCGTTAACTACGTAGACCAAAACTCTACCATATTGATTTACCAAAATGTCTTATGTTCCGAATGACATGTCATGTAAATACGGTTTACATCGCTGACGGCTCTATGTGATAAACCGATCCATATAATATGGATGTATTGGCGCTGTAATTTCTTTGTTTTACAAAGTTACGTAGTCCTTACACTAACTTTTTAAATACGTCGTTATATAAATGACCATGAAAAAATTGAGTACCAGTGCAGTGACGATTCTTTTTTTTTTAATGTATGCAGCGTCAGTCACTGCATGGATCGTTCTGTGGCTACGTGTGCATACGTATCGTGACCAATTGATCGGACCAGATCGTTATTATCCTTGTTAAGTTCCTGAGCCCTGTGTTATTGATATTTCACTAAGTACAGTCAAAATACGCGATGTTGCTTTTCAAGGAAACTCTTGTACTTATGATATCGACTTATTAGTTCGTACTATATGCGTCCAAGTACTGAGCACCACTGGCTTAAATGTCGTGTGCCTTGCCTGTTGAGTCGATATGACACACCGTCCCCTATGTGACTGTTGTAATATGTATGAGGTGTATTATGACAAAATCATGCCACTCTAACGATTAACGTGGATAATAGGAAGTATATTAGCTGTATACAAAGATGATTGGTGTCCGACATTATCTTCCTATCTGTTCTTTGAAAATGTTTTCTAACAACGTTTGGTATTTTTTTTTTAAATAATCTTAGCACGTTTTTTTAGTCGCAATTAGAAATACAATTTCCCGTTTCTGACTTGCTCTAAATGTACCAGTCAAGTTTCACTAGGAATATATGAGATACCTATGTTAAATAAGGTCTCTGTTGTCAAAACTTGGAACACTGTGAATTCAACATGAGGCTTCGGGCATCGTTCAAGGCGATTTCTATTGAATGGGTGAAGATGATGAGGGTCCTGGACCAGAGTAAGGTCTTAGCCAGGGAATGGGTCTGGAAGGATAAGCTAGATGAGGGTTGAGCACAATCGAATACACTTAAAGTCGTGATGAAGAGCCTCGGTGACCTAGACCGACCTAGATCTACACTTGCTTCCGTATCTGTTGCCTCTAAGTATAACTAACCCGTGCCAATAGCCACAAAAGAAACTAAACATTCCTACATGTACCGCAAGATACACTTATTTGTATCCTCGTTGGTTAAAGTTATCTTATGCATTAGACATTTCCTTGATATTTCATGGCACTTTGGATGTTGTCGATCTACCTAGGATTTATCGTAACGTTTCCGTAATAAAGCCATATAAGCTCTTTAGGGAAGCTCTTGTTTTTTTTTCAACGTAGAAACTTGTGAGATCGTCTTCAGGAGATTCTGTATCCAGCGAGTTCGGATAATTTAAGTTTTATTTTTTTTTTTTTAAAGGATTTCGCTAAATTTTTATTCATGAACGTAAAACCGTGAAAGATGGCACGATCTGTTTTCAAAGTACTGTCATATTTTTTTTTTGATGGTTTTCAAGGTTAAATGACCTGTCTTAAGGTACGATAACATCCTGTGAGTAATCAATCAACGGGACCGTATCCTTTCAACTTACGTCAATTTTTCAGTGAGAACAGCCTGACGGAGGGCGAATACAAAGGAGCTGAGAGAGCTTTCATAAGTTTGAAAACCTCCATCGAGATTGGAATAGAATGCTGGAAACTTTCTTGAAGGAACTCTCGTGCATGTCGTTCTTATAGATATATCGCGAAGAAAGAATTTCGATGGCTTGCAAAATCGAACGATTTGCATCTTGCGCAATCGTTACTTTCTCAAACAGAAAACTTGTGAAATTTCCACGTGGCTGGAATGCGCGATGCATTCAAGTTTCATAATTTGCTCGCGTGTTCGTACATTTGTTCAATTAAGACTGTCCTACCGTAATGCTATAGTCACTTGTATAATTGCGTCAGATAATGCGGTATCGCCTAACAATTTAGTTTTACGGCAGTCATTAATTCTCCCTGGTTGAATTATTTTCCGCTATGCGCTGTATTGCTATGTATGCAACTTGCATAGTCTAACCTGTACCAACCAATCGGAACAAACACGATGTATGCTGTTGTCACGTGATAAATGCAATTTGTTATACTTCAAAATATAAATTGCTCATTAATGCGCATTGTGTGTCTTGATTGAGTCGCAATAATTAAAAACTAAAAAAAAAAGTAATATATAATTTTGTTTATTGTCAATGCTTTTACGATTTTATTCGCGTTTCTTTTGTCATAGTAGAAAAATATATATGAATTACGACAGTGATCGTGAAATTACGTGAAAATCTTAATAATACTATTACTGCAAGTGCCTCATGCCTGAAGCCGAACACACAATAAGATCAATCACTATGTTTGGCTTCGGGATTTGTGCAGTCAGCTTGTAAACAACGTCTTATCGTTTAACGTAACATGGATCGCTCTTGTTAGTTTTAACATATTTTATAAATTTTTAAAATGACTTTGATCATTTTTTCAACTATCAAAATCAAGTATTTGTTACGTGAAAATATTCATATTAAAGTTCTGACGTCATTAACATCATTATGACTGATGGCCCTTCACTGAAAATAGTGTAGATATACCGAGCCACGTTATTCACCTAGGGTGTGAATGCATATTCAAAATTCTCATTAGTCGAATGAAATTACTTTAATCTCCAAGAGTTTTTTTTTTCACTGTCATTACGCGGTAGGAAAAACCGAGAAAGATGATTATAACGCCCAGTCGTGTTATCTTTGTGGAAAATATATTCTCGATAAAAATCCAATTTCCCAAGTAACATTAGCTTACTTCTAATCAGGTAACTTGATCACGAGCATATAAGAATGCATTCCTGAAATAATGGAATGTTTGTTTTATTATAAAAAAAAAAAAAAATGAAAAAACTATAGTAATTTTTTCCCAATTTCGCCACAATACACGTATTCAGTGTATTCGTTATACGTAAAAACCTCATTCGTTCCATAAATTTCATTAAAAGTTACTAACAGCAGATTCGTCTTAACTATACGTAGGTAAATGTATAATCATTAATCAACTAGTAACGATGCACATGAATATGACGTCTCTAGAGTGACCAATGTTTTCACACACAACCGCGCGATATCCAATAGCAGCGGTCGACTTGTCAAATGCCACGAGACACAATAGAGTATTGTGCACAAGCACGCTGAAGGCGCTTTTAATTAAAACCCGCTTGCAGCTTTTTATTCGCTGCATTCGTGGCCCATTCTGTAATATAGCTGCTAGGTGTGGATAAGTTACTATCGCGAGCGAGCAAAAGCCAGCTATCTAGTTACGGGAACGAACGAGCGATATTGAGCAAACGTATAACTCGCATAAACGACAAAGAGTATCTATTGAAATATAAATATCTCTTTGATAGGAATATTTTTTTCATTCGTCCTTCCGATACTCTCTCACGCGATTACTATGCAATTCACATAGGCAATAGGCAAAGGAGTATATCGAATAAAATTTTTATCCAAGATCTCACAGACGTCTGCTAGAGCCACTTATACAGATTTTCAAATTTAGAGCAAACAATTCGAGGCACTCGGCCTTAGGAAATCGACTCGTAAACGATATTGTACGCGGACTAGAATAGCTCGAAGCATCCATTCAATATGCTGCTTGGAATAGTTCCATTTCAGGATTCAGCGTCAAGTTTGAGGTTTCAGCTGAATGCTAGGTTTGCAATACCCTGTCAATAACACTTGGATTATATCTATTATACCTAGAGAATCGCTATATAAATTGACTCGATAGGAACTCCATTCGGTAACATGTAATTGCATCAATTTACTAACACCTGAGTAATAATAAAAAAACATTAAAATATCACTAACTATTTCCATACTCCTCCCTTAATCTTGCAATTAGTATATTAGGCGCGTAATTCAAATACTCATAGAACCTGGAGAATTTTTTATTAAATCTTCGTCTCGAAGAACAATATAACATATATACGTAGTATATGCCACCTATTATATCTAGCTGATAATAAGAAAACCGCATTGCCGTCATTGGCGCATTGCGCGTAGAAGAATCCGCAAGCGATCAGATGTATACGCTCGCTTTATTCGACAGAACCGTTGTTCTCTTCAAGGTGAATATCCAACAAGCCACTCTTGCGAATTGGAACGAATTGGAGGG